AAGTGCCATTCTTTCGAACTTTTCCTGTCGTCTGGCAGTGCGTCGACACCGTCAGAGCAGATTATGCCGCAGGACAAGGTCTTCCAGTTGAGTATTATCATAAATCTTACATGACGTAATCATTTTGGTTTTGTGTTGTTAATTTAACTTGTATCATTTGATCTGTCGATAAACGTAACTATTGAAATTTTATTCAAAATATATATATATATATTTTTTTTGGGGGGGGGGGGAGGGGGAGAAGGGGGGCGATTTCAATAAAAAAACTAACCATCCCCATCCCTCTTCTAGGAAATCCTGTATCTCCTTCCACACACATACACACACACACACACACATAACAACAACAACAACAACACACACATTTTCTCTCTCTCTCTCTCTCTCAGAAAGACTCGATAAACTTGGCACACCAGTAAGAGTAAAAGCATTGTTGGACTAAAACAAAAGATTACTTTATTACCTTTTAATGATAATCTCAGTAAATCTCGCCTTTTCTTTCAACTGCACATTACAGTGTGACAACAGCAGAGATTTTGCGTACCTTTGCGTACCTTTACTTATTTGAACTATCGAACTAAATAAATAAATTCCCATTAATTTACACAGATAATTCAATATCAAAGAAGTAGACATATTTTACAAGAATACTTAAGTTTGTCAGTTATCGGACGGATTTTATTTTAAAAGTACTTTCTTGCCCACGTAACGGAATTCCAATGCTTCGCATTTTTGACTTGAGCCGCTGTCGGAAGTGCCGTTCACATTACCAACTGGTATGAATACTGTGCGCAAGTCAGTGGTGACGTAGCATCTGTCCAAGGTCACATGGATCAAGTCTGACGACATAGTTTCATTTGCTTCTCTTGGTTGCCTCTCTTTTCTCCCTTCCAAAAACCTCTCGTACTCCGTCCAATCAAAAGCAAGTATTTCTCCTTTAATGACCTCATACCATTCTTCGAGTTGCTCTGATTGTAATTTCAGCTGATTTTCTTTCATTAATTCAATAAGGTGATCAACGGAAGGTTCTGTCATTCTTTGTCTCCATAGTTGTAGCATTCTGTGTCTCTGCTCACTTCCGTCTCTAACGTAAGCGTATTCTAAGTCATCCAGCTCCACGTCGGTGACGTTTCTGCGAACGAGAAAGCGGCACTGGGCCAAGTTCACCGTTTTATGAACAAAACCGATAGCTTTGTCCATGAGGACTTCCCGTGCTTCAACGAGCCTGAGGTTTACTAATTGAGAGGATATTTCGCTGTCTTTTGTCATTTCGGCAGGCACCTTATTGTCCTTGGTTCGTAGAAGTAAATTGGCCCTACTGTATACAAGAAAATTGATCATCTTGACATGGCGACCCTTGCAGGCAAGGTGCAACGGGGATTCCCCCCAGTGATTGACGTCATTGACGCTTGCTCCTGAACCAATCAATAGGTCTGCAACATCAACGTGGCCCCGTTCAGCCGTCAGATGGAGGCACGTGTTCCCTGCTGTATTTTTAAGATGCACTTTCGATTTGTGCGAGAGCAGCAGTTTCACTATTTCTTTATGTCCCCCCTGCGATGCCCAATGTAGGGCCGTGTGACGAAAAACATCCCGTGAGTTTAATTTTAGTTTGAGTCGAAGCAGTTCAAGCACCATGTCAAAATGACCTTGTTCCGATGCCAAATGAAGTGCCGTTTTCCCTGCTTCAGTCCTGCAGCCAACGTCCGCCATTGAATCAACCAAGAGACGGGTGATGGGGAGGTTGCCACAGTGCGCTGCGACATGTAGAGGCGTCCAGTTTATGAACCACCAACAAGAAGGGTCTGTGCCCGCGACATTAATGTCCTCGCTGCCATTGCCTAGTAAACTCTTGACTATCTTTATGTTTCCTCTTCTCACTGCTTCATGTAGCTGCGTCCAAACTTTGTCCGGCATGATTGCGTGTCAGCGAGTGTGTCCTCAACACGGATTATAGTGCGTTTATAGCCTATGCTGACGAATACATCTAGCTGACTAACAACTGTATCAAATGCGACATTTTCTCTATACTTTTATAGTGGGCTATTTGTGTACTGGGCGGAGTCGCATTTTACGGGGGGAATTCCCACATGAACTGACGCACATACCAAAGCGTCATAAGGTGATACTAGTATTCTGGCTTCTGTTAAATGGGAGACAAGTTCGTTTGAGGTTACTTTGGTCCTATAGCGTCATCGTACAAATAGTAGTTCCATTCAGGGCTAAGGCGTGGGCTGTTACACGCAGATTTTCCCCCATTATCAATTCGTAGAAGTTCACACCAAGAAGAAAATCTTGAGGTCGCATGACTCAATGAAAGTATCAGTTTACAGTAACTTCAGCTACAAAAGAATGTGACGTTTGCTTGTTGAGGATATAAGTGAAGCTGACTTCAAGACTCAAGTATTGTAAAACCGCGGAGGAGCAAATTGGGGCCTGTAATTTTTCAAATTTGTGCTTTTGATGATATATATATATATATATATATATATATATATATATATATATATATATATATATATATATATATATATTTTTTTTTTTTTTTTTTTTTTTTTTTGCACAAAGTCTGCTCCTCGTGAGGGATGGCTAGGTGCACACAGTCATCTCTCAAGATAGAGGATCGCACATTAATAATATTACAAATATTACGATTTTCTCTAGTGTTATAGTTGACAAATATATCCAATCCAATCAAAAAAAATCCTATTGAAATTTACATGGACGGTCATATACAGTGTAATGTGAGATCAGAAATATTTCGAAGCAAGCTTGCTTTATTCTTTACTTGGATCATACAGGTAGCCGTGACTTCAGGGCAAAACTACATTTGAGAAACTTCTATTTTAAACCGAGTTATATGCCAAAGTTTAGTTCAAATCATTAAGGTGCCCGAGTTGTAATCATATTACCTGAATCTTTGTATGTATTTTCGACTTAGAACTTCAATCAAGTTTTGATGGATGCTTTCACTTGTAAAAGGATTGAGTCACTTTATTTTAATGACTTCATCCCCTTAGATAAATCTAAAATTAGTCTCGGTTTAATTACGTCAAGACTGTAGTAAATGTGTATTCATTGGCTTCATTACCTATTTCTGTAGGAATTAGGCAC